CCCCGAATCATATAGAACGGCCGATATTGAATCCACGCAGAAACAATCAAGGATTCATCTTCTTGGTTCTTTCGGTAAAGTCACGTAGAATGGAAAAAATAAAATAATTAAATAAAACTATAAAATAATTCTCACGACGTTTCGGCCACAACGCAAGCAGCCGTCCTCAGGTGAAGAACAGGTCTGTCGAGAAGACAGACGCTGTCTTCTCGACAGACCTGTTCTCCACCTTCTCGACAGACCTGTTCACCACCTGAGGACGGCTGCTTGCGTTGTGGCCGAAACGTCGTGAGAATAATTTCATTATGTTTTATTTTATTATTTTATCATTTCCCTTCTACGTGACTTTACCGAAAGAACCAAGAAGATGAATCCCTGCAGTCACGAAAGCTTTTAATCGAACAAATTCGATCAAGGATTAATAATATTTACGTGTGTAAGCAAACAGATAGTCCACCGCCGGACTATCTAACTCATTGGGAGGCCAATGTCGACAAATTATTATCGAGGCTTCACACCCCCCTCCCCGTTTCCTATGCGCATATTGTCAGTAGACTCCCCCATACGCAAGCGAACCCATTTGGGTTAACCCCCCGTCCTCCCTCCATGCGTACGAACCGAATGGATGACCCCCAAGGCCACTGAGCGACGTCGCTTTTCTTCAGAAGCGACCTCACCATATTCTTAGGTTTTTTTCGGTAAAGTCACGTCGGTAAAAAATTTAAATTAATAAAAGTAAAATAAAAATAAAATAAAAATCACGACGTTTCGGAGGCAACACAAGCTTCCGTCTTCAGGTGGAACCGTGTCACAGCACGATAGCTGTATCACTTTTGTGTTTTATATAGTGAATATAAAACACAAAAGTCGTCATGAATGTGGGGCCAGAAAACATTTTACAAATGAAAGAAGAAACCCAACAGCCACGAAGAGGCTCCTGGAAAAAAGAGGCACGCGCACTAGGCGTTCGGCTCTCCTGGACAAATAAGTTTAAACAAACAAATAAAAAGAAACAGACGATGGGTAATGTTGACTTAAAGCTTTCGTGACTGCAGGGATTCATATTCTCTGGGTGTTTCGGTAAAGTCACGTAGATAGGTTCAAAGAAAATAACAAAAAAATGTAACCTATCCACGTGACTTTACCGAAAGACCCAAAGAATAGGTCACTCCTTCCCCACATATTTGTATCTCCGCGTTACAAAAATATACATTTTGATTTAAAGCTTTCGTGGCTGCAGGGATTCATATTCTTGCTTCTTTCGGTAAAGTCACGTAGAAAGGAAAAAATAAAATAATAAAAATATAAAACAATACAATTCTCTCACGACGTCCCCTCCCTTTGATGCTGCTAATCCTGCATAATGCACGGGCATAAGTAGTACTAATCACATACCTGCATTTCCCATAAATATGCTGAATTCCTCTTGATATGCAAATTCCTTTGTCAAGGCGCTCTTCCCCCTCCAACCCAGCTTAAATATACGCTGCCAAGCCTGGTGGTGTTTCATTCAGACGCTGTCTTTCTGACAGACCTGTTCTTCACACTGAGGACGGCTGCTTGCGTTGTGGCCGAAACGTCGTGAGAATTATTTTATTATGTTTTTTATTATTATTTTATTATTTCCATTCTACGTGACTTTACCGAAAGAACCAAGAAGATACAATTTTCTTTTGCTGTGGATTTCACACCCGACGACGATTGCTTGCGTTGCAGTCGAAACGTCGTGAGAATTTAATAGTTTTTTTTAAATTTTATTGTTTCCCTTCTACGTGACTTTACCGAAAGAACCAAGAATATAAGACGATGGGTACAGTACTTGGTCACCGTCATGGGAACGTGGAATTTCCGGGAGGAAGGGAGGGAGGTAGGAGGAGAATGAGAAAGCGGAGGAGAGAGAGGGGAGTAAGGGAGGGAGGCTGTTTTATTTATAATTGGACGCGACAAGGCAGCTGAACACGTGGTCCCCTTCCGTCGTCAGCGAGGCAGGTGGCGGCGGCCATGGAGGCAGTCGCGAGACCACGTGGGAGGCGCGAGGCCACGTGGGTGGCGCGAGACGTCACAGGAGGGTGGGGCAAAGGAGCCCCGTGTAGCCTCGGCGGGCCCTTCTCCTTGTTCCGCGGGCAAGTGCGGTGGACGAGGGTGGTTGGGAGGGCAAACGAACCGGTAACCGGTTTTTAGCGGTTCTTTTCCCCAATTCGGTTACCAGCAATGGAAAAAACTAAATATTTTTTAAAATTTTTATTCAACAAACAGAACATTCTAATTTACCACACATAGGCAAATATCACCCCCCACCCTTCACGTTAAGCCTTAAACAATGGACTGTCGGGGCAAGCGCTGTTAGCGAACGCCTTGACATACACAAAGACAAAGATCCCCCGTGTAGCCTTAACAGACTGTAGGGGCAAGTGCTGTTAGCGGCACGGCACACGAGGGGCTGGGTGGCCAGAACCACGCCCGACCGCCTTTGTCTCCCCAGTGGCGATGTTTACACACCGCACCAGGTACTCATTTGAGGCTGAGTCAACCTAGGGGAGGTCCAAAACCGGTTCAGATAATCGTCACCGGTGTTGGCCCCCACCCACACACACACAGGCCATGTGTGTGTCTGTGTGTATGTCTGGAGAGCGGTGGTGTAGTGGTTAGCGCACTGCTCTACGAACCCGGCGACCCGAGTTCAATTCCCACTCATGGCCAACACCAGTGACGATTATCTGAGCCGGTCCTGGGTCGACTCAGCCTTAAATGAGTACCTGGGGAGACAAAGGCGGTCGGGCGTGGTGCTGGCCACCCAACCCCCTCGTGTACCGTTCCGGCCTTCATAGGTGCTCGCTAACAGCACTTGCCCCTCCAGCCTGTTAAGGCTACACGGGGGACCTTTATCTTTGTCTGTCTAAACCCGCACGCGCGCATCCACTCGAAACCCACGAAACCCAGGCGTGCACTTGGCCCATCCCGTGCATTGGTTTCTCCCAGCCAATGGGGATCCTTTTCCACACACACACACGCACCTTTTCCACACACGCGCGCGTACGCACCCTGACACGCGAGACAAAGATCCCACCCACCACCCATCCCCAGCCTCGAGCAGAGACTGCTCCGTGCAAGTGGCGGCGATGAAGGGCGGCGTGGAGCGGGTGTCCGTCCACGACACATTTGACGATGTTGACCCGCAGCACCGGGTGCTGATTTGAGGCTGAGTCGACCTTGGGGGAGGCGGCAAGATCGACTGGACGTCAGCGGGACTAGAACTCGGCGCAGTCGGGCGGGTTCGTAGCGCAGCGCGCTGACCACTGCGCCACCGCTCCTCCTCCTACAACACACACACATATATACATACACACATATACATATACACACACATATACATACACACGTATACATACATACAGACATACACACGTACACACACGTATACATACACACGTATACATACACACATACATACAGACATACATACAGACATACACATGTACACACACACACATATACAAACACACATATACACACACATATACATACACACGTATACACACGTATACACACACACGTATACACACATATACATACACACATATACATACACACATATACATACACACATACACACACGACTACACACACACATATACATACATACAGACATACACACACGACACACTTGCGCTGAGAAAATTGCAGAATCACATTCACACGCCGCTGGCTCGGGCCAACATCATCGACATCGCCTGCACCACACTCATCCATCACCACCATCAACATCACCACCATCAACATCACCACCACCGTGGTAACGCAGTAATTACCATCAACAACCACATCGTCGTCGTCACATTCAGCAGACATACAACCCGCTTGCATGAACACAAGCAGGCACCATCACGACCCCCATCACCATCATTGTCAAGGCTACACCATCACCATTTTCATAGGTAGGCACAACACACAGCGTGCGCGTAAGAATACACCAATATCATCATCATCATCATCACCAACATCACCACCAACATTATCACCGATATCATCACCACCATCATCATCACCAATATAATCACCAACATCATCATCACCAACATCATCACCACCAACATCATCACCACCAACAACATCACCACCAAACATCATCGCCATCACTGCCACGACCACCAAACATCATCGCCAACGTCATCATCCTCGACATCATCGGAAGCAACAGACAGGCGCGCGGCGCAAGTACACGCACACACACACCATCATCATCATCACCAACATCATCATCACCACCAACATCATCATCACCACCAACATCATCATCACCAACATCATCATCATCACCAACATCATCATCATTATCCCGACCATCATCAGAAGCGCGCGCGAAGAACACACGCACACGCCAACATCATCGCCACCATCACCAACATCATCATCACCAACATCATCATCACCAACATCATCATCACCAACATCATCATAATCACCAACACCATCATCACCAACATCATCACCAACATCATCATCACCAACATCATCATCACCACCAACATCATCACCAACATCATCATCACCAACATCATCATAATCACCAACACCATCACCAACATCATCACCAACATCATCATCACCAACATCATCAACATCACCAACATCATCATCACCAACATCATCATCATCATCATCCCGACCATCATCATCAGAAGCGCGCGTGAAGAACACACGCACACACCAACATCATCGCCACCATCACCAACATCATTATCACCAACATCATCATCACCAACAACAGCATCACCAACATCATCACCGTCACCAACATCATCATCGTATTTGTTTTAAACCGCTTTCACATTAGACACTTGAAGCCGGTGGCGGCGGAGGCGATGGTGGTGATGCTGGTTGTGATGATGATGATGATGGCGATGGTGATGATGATGGTGGTGAAGGGTTGAAGCTTGCGATTCAACTGGACGTGAGTGGGCTCGCATGCGAGAAAGATCTTCAAATCCACCCCCCGCTCCAGATCGCATCCAGCGGCAAAGACACATCATCGTCATCATCGTCATCGTAATTTTTTGTTTGCCCATTCCGACCCCGGGCGACGAAGAGCATCTTCGTACCGAGGACACACAAGTGCATCTCTTCATTTCTCTCACAGCTGTCATCGGCGGGAGCCATCGCACGCGCGTTGCAGCGACGACGAGATCGTTCACGGTGACAGATTGTTCACGTGACGAGGGGAGATTGTTCACGATGACGAGGGGAGATTCTTCACGATGACGAGGGGAGATTGTTCACGTGACGAGAGGAGATTGTTCACGTGACGAGGGGGAGATTGTTCACGTGACGAGGGGAGATTGTTCACGTGACGAGAGGAGATTGTTCACGTGACGAGGGGGAGATTGTTCACGTGACGAGGGGAGATTGTTCACGTGACGAGGGGAGATTGTTCACGTGACGAGGGGGAGATTGTTCACGTGACGAGGGGAGATTGTTCACGTGACGAGGGGAGATTGTTCACGTGACGAGGGGAGATTGTTCACGTGACGAGGGGAGATTGTTCACGTGACGAGGGGAGATTGTTCACAGTGACGAGGGGGAGATTGTTCACGTGACGAGGGGAGATTGTTCACGTGACGAGGGGAGATTGTTCACGATGACGAGGGGAGATTGTTCACGTGACGAGGGGAGATTGTTCACGTGACGAGGGGAGATTGTTCACGTGACGAAGGGGAGATTGTTCACGTGACGAGGGGAGATTGTTCACGTGACGAGGGGAGATTGTTCACGTGACGAGGGGAGATTGTTCACGTGACGAGGGGAGATTGTTCACGTGACGAGGGGAGATTGTTCACGTGACGAGGGGAGATTGTTCACGTGACGAGGGGAAATTGTTCATGATGACGAGGGGAGATTGTTCACGTGACGAGGGGAGATTGTTCACGTGACGAGGGGAGATTGTTCACGTGACGAGGGGAGATTGTTCACGTGACGAGGGGAGATTGTTCACGATGACGAGGGGAGATTGTTCACGTGACGAGGGGAGATTGTTCACGTGACGAGGGGAGATTGTTCACGTGACGAGGGGAGATTGTTCACGTGACGAGGGGAGATTGTTCACGTGACGAGGGGAGATTGTTCACTTGACGAGGGGAGATTGTTCACGTGACGAGAGGAGATTGTTCACGTGACGAGGGGAGATTGTTCACGTGACGAGGGGAGATTGTTCACGTGACGAGGGGAGATTGTTCAACGTGACGAGGGGAGATTGTTCACGTGACGAGGGGAGATTGTTCACGTGACGAGGGGGAGATTGTTCACGTGACGAGGGGAGATTGTTCACGTGACGAGGGGAGATTGTTCACGTGTCGAGGGGAGATTGTTCACGTGACGAGGTGGAGATTGTTCACGTGACGAGGGGGAGATTGTTCACGTGACGAGGGGAGATTGTTCACGTGACGAGGGGAGATTGTTCACGTGACGAGGGGAGATTGTTCACGTGACGAGGGGAGATTGTTCACGATGACGAGGGTTGGTTCAACGTTGGTTCAACGTTGGCATGTGCTTGGAGCCGTTGCACCAACGTTGTGCCAACGTTGGTTCAACGTTGGCATGTGCTTGGAGCCGTTGCACCAACGTTGGTTCAACGTTGGTTCAACGTTGGCATGTGGTTAGAACCTTTGGGCCAACGTTGAACCAACGTTGGCATGTGGTTGGAGCCGCTGGGCCAACGTTGACTCAACGTTGGTTCAACGTTGGCATGAGGGTTGGAGCCGCTGGGCCAACGTTATTAATCTCGACCGTCGGCGATATCGAGAGCACTCCTACTCCGCCACCTCGTACTCCATCGCGAAGGTTGTGGATGTGGTGGAGGGTGAGGGGAGGGGGCTGAGAGGGAGCGGGGTTCATCTGTCGTGACTGGACTCTTCTTTGTAATTCATTTGCAGCATTCATTCCCATTCATCAGACGAGACTGCCACCAACAGCTGCTGTTGCTCTCCAGAGACGGGGTGTGTGGGGGTCTCTGTGTGGGTCTCTCTGTGTGTGTGGATGAGTGTCTGTGTGTGTGAGTGTCTTTGTGTGTGTGGATGAGTGGGTCTCTGTGTGGGTCTCTCCGTGTGTGTGTGAGTGTCTTTGTGTGTGTGTGGGTGAGTGGGTCTATGTGTATGTGTGGGTCTGTCTCTGTGAGTAATTGGGTGAGTGGGTCTCTGTATGTGTGGGTCTCTGTGTGTGTTAGTGGGTCTATGTGTATGTGTGGGTCTGTGTGGTTAAGTGGGTGAGTGGGTCTCTCTGTGTGTGGATGAGTGTCTTTGTGTGTGTGGGTGAGTTAGGGTCCGTGTATGTGTGGGTCTCTTTGTGTGTGGGTGAGTGGGTCTCTGTGTGTGTGGGTCTCTCTGTGTGTGGATGAGTGTCTGTGTGTGTGTGAGTGTCTTTGTGTGTGTGTGGGTGAGTGGGGGTCTGTGTATGTGTGGGTCTCTGTGTGTGTGGATGAGTGTCTGTGTGTGTGAGTGTATTTGTGTGTGTGGATGAGTGTCTCTCTGTGTGTGGGTGAGTGGGTCTCTGTGTGGGTCTCTCTGTGTGTGGGTGAGTGTCTGTGTGTGTGTGGGTCTTTGTGTGTGTGTGTGTGTGTGAGTGTCTCTGTGGGTGAGTGGGTCTCTGTGTGGGTCTCTGTGTGTGTGTGAGTGTCTTTGTGTGTGTGTGTGGGTGAGTGGGGGTCCGTGTATGTGTGGGTCTCTGTGTGTGTGGATGAGTGTCTGTGTGTGTGTGAGTGTCTTTAGTGTGTGTGTGTGAGTGTCTCTGTATGTGTGGGTGAGTGGGTCTCTGTGTGGGTCTCTCTGTGTGTGGGTGAGTGTCTGTGTGTGTGTGGGTCTCTGTGTGTGGAAGAGTGTGTGTGTGTGAGTGTCTTTGTGTGTGTGTGTGTGGGTGAGTGGGGGTCTGTGTATGTGTGGGTCTCTGTGTGGGTCTCTGTGTGTGTGGGTGAGTGGGTCTCTGTGTGTGTGGGTCTCTCTGTGTGTGGATGAGTGTCTGTGTGTGTGTGGGTCTCTGTGTGTGGGTGAGTGTCTGTGTGTGTGTGTGAGTGTCTTTGTGTGTGTGTGGGTGAGTGGGTCTTTGTGTATGTGTGGGTCTGTCTCTGTGAGTAATTGGGTGAGTGGGTCTCTGTATGTGTGGGTCTCTGTGTGTGTTAGTGGGTCTATGTGTATGTGTGGGTCTGTGTGGTTAAGTGGCTGTGTGGGTGAGTGGGTCTCTGTGTGTGTGGGTAAGTGTCTGTGTGTGTGTGGGTGAGTAGGGGTCCGTGTATGCGTGGGTCTTTATGTGTGTGAGTCTCTGTGTGTGTGGGTGAGTGGGTGAGTGGGGGGTCTGTGTATGTGTGGGTCTCTATGTGTGTGAATGAGTGGGTCAATGTGTATGTGTGGGTCTGTGTGGGTAAGTGTCTGTGTGGGTGAGTGGGTCTCTGTGTGTGTGTGGGTGAGTAGGGGTCTGTATGTGTGGGTCTTTGTGTGTGTGTGGGTCGCTGTGTGGGTGAGTAGGGGTCTGTGTACGGCCAACACCAGTGACGATTATCTGAACTGGTCGTGGGCCTCCCCTAGGTCGACTCAGCCTCAAACGAGTACCTGGTGCGGTGTAAACATCCCCACTAGGGAGACAAAGGCGGCCGGGCGTGGTTCTGGCCACCTACCCACTCGTGTACCGTCCCGGCCTTCATAGGTGCTCGCTAACAGCACTTGCCCCTACAGTCTGTTAAGCCTTTCCGGGGGACCTTTGGAGGCAGTCGCCTCCCAGCAACAACGGGGGGCGGAGGAGCGACGCTCACAACAACGAGCGGAGCGCCGCGCGGCTAAAGCGCAGCAAATCGGCACCGTGAACAGCACAGTTGGTGTGTCTGCCAGTCACCACCGATCAGTCAACCCATGGGCGTCTGTGACCTCTCAACCCAAAGTGCACCTAGCATGGCGCAAGCGCCGTGGGGACGTCACCGCCGCTTAATGGTGAACGGCGGCTGCTGTTGTTGCTGCTGGTGGTGGTGGTGTCAGCGGTTGCAAGTATCGGTGGTGTTGTTGCAAGCGATTGTATAGATTATGTTCGAGGTGGTGGCATTCGTGGCGTATGCCCCCGGCTGTGTTGCCGGCGGCGACGTTAACAGGGCCCGGGGTTACATTGAAGTGGGGGGCCGAGGTTGGGACAGCTTTGGGGGGATTGGGGGGCCCTCTGTGTACTTTCAATCCTTGCTCCCATTGGCTGTTTCTTTTCCACCACGTACTGTGCCGCCATGTCGGACAGGAGGCGGCTATCCACCCCCGGGGTGCTGCCACTGCTGCTGTTCATTCAAACGCCAAGTACGGGACCGCGAAGGCGAAATCAAAGTTGAAAAAAGCTGATTGGAAACTCTCGCGTCACCGGCAGCGTCACCGGTAGTATCACCGGCAGTTTCACCAGTAGCATCACCGGCAGCGTCACCGGTAGTATCACCGGCAGTGTCACCGGTAGCGTCACCGATAGCTTCACTGGCAGTGTCACCGGTAGAGTCATCGTTAGAGTCATCGGTAGCGTCACCGGTAGCATCACCAGTAGCATCACCAGTAGCATCACTGGCAGTGTCACCAGTAGAGTCATCGGTAGCGTCACCGGTAGAGTCACCGGTAGAGTCACCGGTAGAGTCATCGGTAGCATCACCGGTAGCGTCACCAGTAGCATCACCGGCAGTTTCACCGGTAGCTTCACCGGTAGAGTCAACGGTAGCATCACCGGTAGCATCACCAGTAGCATCACCAGTAGCATCACCGGTAGATTCACCGGTAGAGTCATCGGTAGCATCACCGGTAGCATCACCAGTAGCATCACCGGCAGTGTCACCGGTAGAATCATCGGTAGCTTCACCGGTAGCGCCGCTCGATGCTGGTAGCGCCGCGGCTCTTGACAATGACCGAAGTCGGTGGGAGACCCCCCCCCCCCGTCCCACCGCTCACTTGAGCATTGAGAGGCTGTCGGTGGTCATCTCTCATCTACACAGCTCCTGCAGTGCCGTGGTGGAAATTCCACATTCCTATGGCATGGGGTTGGCGGGGCGGGGCGGGCAAGGACAACTGCTGTTGACCTCCCCACAAACTGGTACTTATTTTAATGACCCCCCCCCAGGGAGAGATGATGGGCTGAGTCACCCCCCCGCCCCACCCCCCGTTGCCGACGAGGATTTGAACTCTCGACCTTCCACCGGCCCGGCGAGCCACCCGGCCGATCGCCAGACCACCTCTGGGTGGTTCACCATCGTGCTCCGGCCATTGCGTTTGAGCCGCCGTGCAAGTCTGCGCGTCGCGTGTCCTGCGCCCTGTACGGGTGATAGGGGTGGCCCTCGCCACCCTCAGGGGCCCGGGCTACAGCCCCTGGGAGCCATCGCCTTCACACAGCCCCCCCCACCCCCCCCCCAGCGGTGGAGGTGGCGGTGGTGTTGGTTGTGGCCGTGCGTTGTGCTGGGCACGAGCTGCAAAGTTTGGTAGTACATCTTCTTGGTTCTTTCGGTAAAGTCACGTAGAAGGGAAGTAATAAAATAATAAAAATAAAACATGAAAAAATTTCGATTTAAAGCTTTCGTGACTGCAGGGATTCATCTTCTTGGTTCTTTCGGTAAAGTCACGTAGAAGGGAAGTAATAAAATAATAAAAATGAAACATAATAAAATTTCGATTTAAAGCTTTCGTGACTGCAGGGATTCATCTTCTTGGTTCTTTCGGTAAAGTCACGTAGAAGGGAAGTAATAAAATAATAAAAATAAAACATGAAAAAATTTCGATTTAAAGCTTTCGTGACTGCAGGGATTCATCTTCTTGGTTCTTTCGGTAAAGTCACCTAGAAGGGAAGTAATAAAATAATAAAAATGAAACATAATAAAATTTCGATTTAAAGCTTTCGTGACTGCAGGGATTCATCTTCTTGGTTCTTTCGGTAAAGTCACGTAGAAGGGAAGTAATAAAATAATAAAAATAAAACATAATAAAATAATTCTCACGACGTTTCGGCCACAACGCAAGCAGCCGGCTACTTGCGTTGTGGCCGAAACGTCGTGAGAGCAGCCGGCTACTTGCGTTGTGAGAATTGTATTTAATTATGTTTTATTTTTATTATTTTATTACTTCCCTTCTACGTGACTTTACCGAAAGAACCAAGAAGATGAATCCCTGCAGTCACGAAAGCTTTAAATCGAAATTTGGTAGTATATGTTATGTATATCGTTTATTGTAAAATTTCAATTGCAGCTCCTATGATCACTGTTGCATTGCTTTTATAGTTTTATTTATATTTCGAAAACGTTTTGGTTTTGCCATATTTGTGTGTTGTAGTACAGAGTCAGACTGATAACTTTAATCTACATTGTCTTGTGGCTGTTATTGTTTGACTTGCATCCCACTGGGAGTTTTGCACACAGCGTTGATACACGGTGCTTTTTCTGGAAGACTTTGCTGTTTTTTCCTGGATTTTTCTGTTTGTGCGTAGTCACTTTAAGATGTTTCTTGTTCATGTTTTGTTTGTTGCGGTTGCACCCGATTCAAGAGCCGAATGGCTCACAGGGCTACACCAAATAACTGAAAAAAAAACTGGTTGTCGTGGTTGCGTTGGATGTTGTTTTGATTTTCACCAACCATCTCCTCTCTGCCCAACCCCCCCCTCCCTCCCCCGACCCCACCCACAGCTGACCGTCCTGGCCCCACGCGAGGAACATGGAGTTTACGAAGCCACGTTCCTCGAGCCCTTCCTGCAACGACTTTCAGGACGCGAGGTTTCGGCTGGCCTTGGACCCCTGCCTCCACGGCAAGGCCCCCTTCTCCGCAGGGGGTCTCCCCAGACACGGGACCTTCCCAGGACACCATCACCTCCACCACCACCATCAGCAGCAGCAGCAGCATTGCCTGATGCAGGGCCAGTGTTGCTCTCCGCACGGCAGTCAGCTGAGCGTCAACTTCAGCGGCTGCTCCTGCCCTGAGACGGACGTGTCGCTGTCACCGCTGCTGCAGAAGCTCTCGTGCAACGCCTGCACTGCCAAGCAGCCGCAGCAGCCGCAGCCGCAGCAGCAGCAGCATCACCAGCTGAGCAGGGCGTCGAGCCCGACGGGCAGCGGGCGGCGGGAGAGCAACGCGTTCACCGAGATCGCGATGAGCAGCTGCAAGTACAACGGCGGGATGGTGAAACCTCTGAGCCACCTGAGCGCGTCGCGGAGAAGCCTGCAGGGAGGGCAGGAGGGAGACCACGGCGCCGAAGCGAGGAGTCCACAGATCCTGCAGGGGCACTGCCACCACCACCAGCAGCAGCAGCTGCAGCTGCAGCAGACGCCCGAGATCGTGGTGTCGAGGCCCGTGTGTGAACTGTCGCTGTCCGCGTCGGGGGTGCTGAGAAGTCCTTCGCTGCAGGGCGGGGCGCAATCGCTCCACCGCCAGTCCCCGCTGTCACTACCTCCTCCTCCTCCACCGCCTCCGCCTCCTCCTCCACCACCGCTGCCACATCATCCACACCACCACCACCAGCAGCAGCATCATCAACAACAACAGCAACAGCAGCAGCAGCATCCACCGCCACCCAATACCCCACCTCCTCCCCCGCCGCCTCTTCTGCCTCCCGCGCCGCCGCCGCCGCCGCTGCCGCCGGCGCGGTGCTCTGCGGGCTCGACGGTGAAGGCGTGCGGTGGCAGCGGCAGCGGCAACAACAACAACAAGAAGAAGACGCAGAACATCGGCTACAAGCTGGGACACCGGCGGGCGCTGTTCGAGAAGCGGAAGAGGCTGAGCGACTACGCGCTCATCTTCGGCATGTTCGGCATCGTCGTCATGGTCATCGAGACCGAGCTGTCGTGGTCCGTCTACGACAAGGTGGGCAGGAGGGCGGGGGGTGAGGAGTGAGTGAGTGAGTGAGGAGTGAGTGAGTGAGGATGAGTTGGAGTGAGTGAGGAGTGAGTGAGTGAAGAGTGAGTGAGTGAGGTAAGTAGGAGTGAGGAGTGAGATGAGTAGGAGTGAGATGAGTGAGGAGTGAGTGAGTGAGGAGTGAGCGAGGAGTGAGTGAGGAGTGAGTGAGTGAGGTGAGTACGAGTGAGTGAGGAGTGAGTGAGGAGTGAGTGAGTGAGTGAGGAGTGATATGAGTAGGAGTGAGTGAGTGAGGAGTGAGTGAGTGAGTGAGTGAGGAGTGAGTGAGTGAGTGAGTGAGGAGTGAGTGAGTGAGTGAGGAGTGAGTGAGTGAGTGAGGAGTGAGTGAGTGAGTGAGATGATTAGGAGTGAGTGAGCGAGTGAGTGAGTGAGTGAGGAGTGAGTGAGTGAGTGAGTGAGGAGTGAGTGAGTGAGTGAGTGAGGAGTGAGTGAGTGAGTGAGGAGTGAGTGAGTGAGTGAGATGATTAGGAGTGAGTGAGGAGTGAGTGAGGAGTGAGTGAGGAGTCAGAGTAACAGGAATGAGGAGTGATGACTATCAGGAGGTCACTGGCATGCCAGGGCCGTTGTCGTAAGCATCATCATCACCATCATCATCTTCATCGCTATGATTACCATCATCTTCACCAACATCATCATCACCATCTTTATCATTTTCATCATCATCATCACCATCTTCACCATCATCACCACCACCACCATCATCACCATTATTATCATCATCATCACCATTATTATCATCATTATCATCACCATCATCACCATCATCATCACCATCATCATCACCATCATCATCTTCATCGCTATGATTACCATCAACTTCACCACCACCATCATCACCATTATTATCATCATCACCATTATTATCATCACCATCATCATCACCACCATCATCACCATTATTATCATCCTCATCATCACCACCATCTTCACCATCATCACCGCCACCACCATTATTATCATCACCATCATCACCATCATCTTCACCAACCATCATCACCAATATTATCATCACCATCTTCACCATCACCAACATCATCACCCAGCAGTCGTAGTGGCACCGCGAGTAGCTGCAAGGGGATGAAAGGAGAGGATATGATCAGGTCACACGATTTCGATCTGGTTAAGACTTGTGCTTCTGAGTCTTACACATATTGGAGTCTATTTAAAACGCCAGCGAGCAAGGCATTGCAGTAATCCGGTCTGGATGAAATGAAGGCGTGCGCCAGCCTCAGGGCATCAGGAGGTGACGGCTTAGGTCTTAGTCGAGTAAATGGATGAACTATTTTGGTCATATCATGTACGTGGGCCTCAAATGTCAAACCAGGGGTCTGGGACAACACTCATGTTTCGAGGAAGATGGATTTAAAGTCCCGTCTGTGGCCATACTAAAACCCATCCAAAGTTACGCACTTGACGTGGAGAACCCGAGAACGTAATGTTTTTGTTGTTGACATTCACGAGTGCATCCACAAATTGACCTTGGCGAGGCAACGCGAACGCACGGACACCACCACTCTGGAATCATCGCTCATCGGACACCTCCCGTCCAAGTAAAGACTCTGACCCTGGAGATGAATCGTGCGAGCCGCCGGGCATTAAAGCGAAAGTCCCAAGCCATGACGACAACGCAAGTGTGCCCAAGGGGGCATAGCGTACGCACCGGCTGAGCAACAGTCGGCCTCATAGTCGAGCACTGGGGAAGCTCAGAGGCAGAGGTCGCAATCGGGTACCCGATACCCGTACCCTACCCGATACCCGTACCCTACCCGATACCCGTACCCTACCCGATACCCGTACCCTACCCGATACCCGTACCCTACCCGATACCCGGCTACCCATACCCAATACCCGTACCCTACCCGATACCCGTACCCTACCCGATACCCGTACCCTACCCGATACCCGTACCCTACCCGATACCCGTACCCTACCCGATACCCGTACCCTACCCGATACCCGTACCCTACCCGATACCCGGCTACCCATACCCAATACCCGTACCCTACCCGATACCCGTACCCTACCCGATACCCGTACCCTACCCGATACCCGTACCCTACCCGATACCCGTACCCTACCCGATACCCGTACCCTACTCGATACCCGTACCCTACCCTATACCCGGCTACCCGTACCCGACCGGGTACCGGGTACGGGTACCCGTTTGCGACCCTGGTGCGGCCGGGTACGGGTAAGGAATCAAAACCCGTTTGCGACCTCTGCCCAGAGGACACTAAGAGCATTAAGGAGAAGGATAGTCGTCCATTGAGACGACCATTCTCTGTCTCTCTCTGTCTCTCGTGTTCTGGTGGACAAGTGTGACTAAAGCGCTGAGATGCCCACAGAGATTCGAAGGGGGGTGGGGGGGGGACGTGGTAGAAGGTTTGCCCCAAGCCCTGCACCGCCACCCCCCTCCCTCCACCACCACGGACAACCTTGGGGCCACTGCAGAGCCAGTGGGGGGGGGGGGGGGGGGGGGGGGTGGCACGTGCCCCCCCGCCCTCAATGATCCGATCGAAATCCCTAATTTCGATCGGGTCATTGGGGTTTATTTGTGATAAATCGGCATTTTGTGACCCCCGTTGCCACTGTGTAGCATATTATTACGTGCCAGGGACTCTATGACATGATAGGACAATAGTCTGAGTCCATAATTGTCAATAAGTAACGGCAAAGCGGTTATAAGTGACTCAGAATTGTGCCCAGTTGCGTAAACAGGACACGACTTTCCAGAAGGCATTCACCTTCAGCGAGCGCGATGCCGATCACACCACGCGGTTCGAATTCGACCCTCGATCGATAGCCGCGCCATCGCCGCACACGCGTCGAATAAAAGGCCAGGGACAAGTCCTTGTTTACTAACAACTCCCCTATCATCTTTCATTGCTGGAGGGGTTGCCCCCCCCTACCTGACAATTCTGGCTCCGCTATTGCTTGGGGCCCCACGGCGACACAGAGAGCACTGGCCCGGTCATCGCTCACGACGCTAACCCCCACCCCCACGCCCACCCCCTTTAATTCAATTAGCGTTCTTCCCCGAAGTCCACGCGACTTTGCCTACGTGCGGTCAGTGGGGGGGGGGGGGGTGAGAGTAATTGGGTTGATCTAATTATTTTTATTTTTTAATCCTTTAAGTTCACTCGCTTGCTTGCTTGCGCGCTTACGACCGTGCAAATCTTTCGGTCGTTTTTTAACCCACTTCCCGTGATCCAATCGAGCTGACATTTTGCACACAGACTCGTTGTGCGTGACAATTTCTTTTCGTGAAAATCTTTTCCAAAATTTTACACTTTTTAGGAAAAAAATAATTATATTTAATTACCAATTGCTTAATGGTGGCAGGCAATCATCTGACCCATAGGTGGCAGCCATCTCAAGCCAGAGGACGAGAGGACTCTAGCCGCCACGCATATAAAGGATTTATAGTGAAAAACTTTGTTTTTACGGGTTAATTTTTTATCACGTAAGGTCCGCTAAGCGAGTTCCAGACGGCCGCTAGCCTTGAGTCGCGATGGGGTGGAACACGGAGTGTCAATCTTTATGGGGGTCCCCTAGAAAGTGTTCACACGTGTGTCAAGAAGACACGTGTGTGTGTGTGTCGGTGTGAGTGGGGAGCAGTGTGAGTGTGTGTCGGTGTGTGTGTGTGTCGGTGTGTGTGTGTCGGTGTGTGTGTGTGTCGGTGTGAGTGGGGAGCGGTGGTGCAGCGGTTAGCGCTACGCTGCGCTACGAACCTGGCGACCCGCGTTCAATTCCCGCTCATGGCCAATACCCAGTGACGATTATCTGAACCGGTCCTGGGCCTTCCCGAGGTCGACTCAGCCTCAAATGAGTACCTGGTGCAGTGTGTAAACATCACCACTGGGGAGACAAAGGCGGTCGGGCGTGATACTGGCCATCCAACCCCCTCGTGTACCGTGCCGGCCTTCATAGGTGCTCGCTAACAGCACTTGCCCCTACAGCCTGTTAAGGCTATACGGGGGATCTTTGTCTTTATGGGGGGGCGGTGGTGCAGTGGTGCAGTGGTTAGCGTGCTTTGCTACAAACCCATGAAACAAAACTAAACAATTTCGATTTAAAGCTTTCGTGACTGCAGGGATTCATCTTCTTGGTTCGTTCGGTAAAGTCACGTAGAAGGGAAATAATAAAATAATAAAAATAAAACATAATAAAATAATAACTTTAAATAAATACAGACAACAGGTTCTACTTAATTAAAATAGACTTTTTGATGTTTTCTCCTACACCATCAGAGTGCAGCGCCACATTAAATACGCACTACAATGACAACAGTTTAAAGCGATTTGAAGCATGTTTTATATTTTTTTTGGGGGGGGGGGCAGAGCTTTGTGACGTCATATTTCAGGGGGGGGGGGTCTGACTTTTTGTGACGCCGTGTGACGAAGGGGGGGGGGGTTCAAAATCGTCCAAAATCGCGTGACGTCATTTATGGACGGCCCCTTACCCCGTGTGCCAGGGTTTGCTGCAGAACGGGCGCTCGCGCCTTGGGGGTTGTTTGCACCGGTGCCATCGTTTGTGACCGGGCTACCCGGCGGGTGGATCATTGCGTGTGGTGTTTATTTCCTGCTCTCTGCGTGCTTTGCAGGCGTCCCTGTATTCGCTGGCTCTCAAGTGTCTCATCAGCCTCTCCACCATCATCCTGCTGGGCCTCATCATCCTGTACCACGCGCGGGAAGTCCAGGTACCTCGCGGAAGACCGTGCCGGGTGGTGGAGGGTTACGACACATTTATAAACAACGCGATCGAACCCTAAAACGTTGATTATGAATAATATCGGTCGCGAAAGCCTACACGTGTGTTCAACGTGTGCGAGTGTTAAAGCGTGTGCCGCTGTGCCCTTGAGTGATGTGTGCGTGTGACCGCCGCCTCTGCTATATCTGTCACCGGTCCCCAGACCCCGTCGCTCCGCGTCCCTCTCCCTTCAAGGACACTTGCCCCCTCTAGCCGAGACCCGCCACCCCACCCCCAACACCCGCCCACCACCCCCCCGCCGCCCCCCCAGATGACAACTCTTCCCCCCCCCCCCCACCACGGGACTCGTAGAGCCACACGCAGGCACGGTGACAGCTCACGGTGAAAGCTCACGGTGAAAGCTCACGGTGAAAGCTCACGGTGAAAGCTCACGGTGAAAGCTCACGGTGAAAGCTCACGGTGAAAGCTCACGGTGGAAGCTCACGGTGAAAGCTCACGGTGGAAGCTCACGGTGAAAGCTCACGGTGGAAGCTCACGGTGAAAGCTCACTGTGAAAGCTCACGGTGGAAGCTCACGGTGGAAGCTCACTGTGAAAGCTCACTGTGAAAGCTCATGGTGAAAGCTCACGGTGAAAGCTCACTGTGAAAGATCACGGTGAAAGCTCACGGTGAAAGCTCATGGTGGAAGCTCACGATGAAAGCTCACTGTGAAAGCTCACGGTGAAAGCTCATGGTGGAAGCTCACGATGAAAGCTCACTGTGAAAGCTCACGGTGAAAGCTCATGGTGAAAGCTCACGGTGAAAGCTCACTGTGAAAGCTCACGGTGAAAGCTCATGGTGGAAGCTCACGATGAAAGCTCACTGTGAAAGCTCACGGTGAAAGCTCATGGTGAAAGCTCACGGCCTTCGAGTGGCTACGCTGCTGCAAGCTGCTGCCTCTAGACCAGCAGCAGCAACGCAGCAGCAGCAGCAGCAGCGAGGGTTGGCGGATCGCTCGCAGACCTCGCCCGAAAATATTTTCCCGTGGGTGGCCGTCAAGGAGGGGCCCATGCAAGTGAAGTCACTCCGACGGCTCTATACTCGGAGCCTCTTTATCATCGACACGGCGACGATGTTAGCCCCGGGCTTTGCTCTCAGTTCTGATCGAACGTCCCCCACCCACCCACTCCCCTCCTCGTATCCTTCTTGAGCCCTCTTTCTCGAATCTTCCATCACTGTTTTTTTTCCCTGTGGCCAATCCCCGTCCTCCTCCTCCGAGGGTTCCCACCCATCACCCCCAGTCTATGGGTCTCTGTGTGAGTCTGTAGGTATCTGTGTGAGTCTCAGGGTCTCTGTGTGAGTCTCTGGGGCTATATGTGAGTCTATGGGTCTCTGCGTGAGTCTATGGGTCTCTGTGTGAGTCTCTGGGTCTCTGTGTGAGTCTATGGCTCTCTGTGTGAGTCTATGGGTCTCTGTGTGAGTCTATGGCTCTCCGTGTGAGTCTATGGGTCTCTGTGTGAGTCTATGGGTCTCCGTGTGAGTCTATGGCTCTCTGTGTGAGTCCATGGGTCTCTGAGTGAGTCTATAAGTCTCTGTGTGAGTCTCTGGGTCTCTGTGTGAGTCTTTAGGTATCTGTGTGAGTCTATGGGTCTCTGTGTGAGTCTATGGGTCTGGGTGAGTCTATGAGTCTCTGTGTGAGTCTATGGGTCACTGTGTGAGTCTATGGGTCTGGGTGAGTCTATGAGTCTCTGTGTGAGTCTATGGTTCTCTGTGTGAGTCTATGGGTCTGGGTGAGTCTATGGGTCTCTGTGTGAGTCTATGGGTCTGGGTGAGTCTATGGGTCTCTGTGTGAGTCTATGAGTCTCTGTGTGAGTCTATGGGTCACTGTGTGAGTCTATGGGTCTGGGTGAGTCTATGAGTCTCTGTGTGAGTCTATGGGTCTCTGTGTGAGTCTATGGCTCTCTGCGTGAGTCTATGGCTCTCTGTGTGAGTCTATGGCTCTCTGTGTGAGTCTATGGGTCTGGGTGAGTCAATGGGTCTCTGTGCGAGTCTATGGGTCTCAGTATGAGTCTTGAGGTCTGTGTGAGTCTCTGGGTCTCAGTGTGAGTCTGTAGGTTTCTGTGTGAGTCTATGGATCTCTGTGTGAGTCTCTGGGGCTCTGTGTGAGTCTCTGGGTCTCTGTGTGAGTTTCTGGGTCCCAGTGTGAGTTTGTAGGTATCTGTGTGAGTCTATGGGTCTCTGTGAGAGTATTGAGGTCTGTGTGAGTCTCTGGGTCTCTGTGTGAGTCTATAGGTCTCTGTGGGAGTCTATGGGTCTCTGTGTAAGTCTATGGGTCTCTGTGTGAGTCTGTAGGTTTCAGTGTGAGTCTGTAGGTTTCTGTGTGAGTCTGTAGGTTTCTGTGTGAGTCTGTAGGTATCTGTCTTCCTCTTCGTGTTGATGCTGATGTAGAGCAGCGGCTGTGACCTCACGTGGAGGCTATGAGCCAGGCGATTGTGCCACCAGGAGCAGCCGGGTGGTGAATCGCGGCTGCTGTGACGATGCCCCCCCCCGCCCCCCACCCCGCCCCCCAACTCCTCGCCCTGCTTCGTGTGTTGCGAGTCGGGAACCGAGCCCACGTGACTCGGCTCCGTGGTTCTGCTCTGGGGTGGTGACCAGTGTCAGCCATTGTGTGTGTGCATCGTTATCGTCATCGTCGTCATCATCGTCATCGTCATCATCGTCATCATCATCATCGTCATCATCGTCGTCATCATCCTTGTCGTCACCACCGAGTATCCGATTCAAAGCCGTAGCCATGGAGTCAACATTGGGGGGGACCAAATCTTACAGGGGGTCTGGGGGTCTGCCTCCCCCCCCCCCCCCAGAAAAATAAATCTAAATTTGTAAAGATTTTCCTGCCATTTCCTGCCTAAAATATAAAAAAATCACGAACACATAGGATGGACTTTTATTTTATTGTTTACAATAATGTTTAATCGTGTATTGTATTACAATGCTCTGTTTTTTTTTCCTTTTTTTGTTTTATTGTATGTAATGGCAGAGATTAGGGATTAATAAATTACAACCATAACCACAATCATATAAACAGAAATCCACTTTATAGCAATATATTGGGGGGGACATTATGAGCATATTTGAATATTGGGGGGGATGTGTTCAGGCAAAGGGCCTTTGCATGAAACCAGTGCGACGTTTCGGTCAATGGGCCTTTGCATGTAACCGGGGCGACGTTTCGGGCAATGGGCCTTTGCATGAAACCGGGGCGACGTTTCGGTCAATGGGCCTTTGCATGAAACTGGTGCGACGTTTCGGTCAATGGGCCTTTGCATGTAACCGGGGCGACGTTTCGGGCAATGGGCCTTTGCATGAAACCGGGGCGACGTTTCGGTCAATGGGCCTTTGCATGAAACTGGTGCGACGTTTCGGTCAATGGGCCTTTGCATGTAACCGGGGCGACGTTTCGGTCAATGGGCCTTTGCATGAAACTGGTGCGACGTTTCGGTCAATGGGCCTTTGCATGTAACCGGGGCGACGTTTCGGGCAATGGGCCTTTGCATGAAACCGGGGCGACGTTTCGGGCAATGGGCCTTTGCATGAAACTGGTGCGACGTTTCGGTCAATGGGCCTTTGCATGTAACCGGGGCGACGTTTCGGGCAATGGGCCTTTGCATGAAACCGGGGCGACGTTTCGGGCAATGGGCCTTTGCATGAAACCAGTGCGACGTTTCGGTCAATGGGCCTTTGCATGAAACTGGGGCGACGTTTCGGGCAATGGGCCTTTGCATGAAACCGGGGCGACGTTTCGGTCAATGGACCTTTGCATGAAACTGGTGCGACGTTTCGGTCAATGGACCTTTGCATGAAACTGGTGCGACGTTTCGGGCAATGGGCCTTTGCATGAAACTGGTGCGACGTTTCGGTCAATGGACCTTTGCATGAAACCGGGGCGACGTTTCGGTCAATGGACCTTTGCATGAAACTGGGGCGACGTTTCGGTCAATGGACCTTTGCATGAAACCGGGGCGACGTTTCGGTCAATGGGCCTTTGCATGAAACTGGTGCGACGTTTCGGTCAATGGACCTTTGCATGAAACCGGGGCGACGTTTGGTCAATGGGCCTTTGCATGAAACTGGTGCGACGTTTCGGTCAATGGACCTTTGCATGAAACCAGTGCGACGTTTCGGTCAATGGGCCTTTGCATGAAACTGGGGCGACGTTTCGGTCAATGGACCTTTGCATGAAACTGGGGCGACGTTTCGGTCAATGGACCTTTGCATGAAACTGGGGCGACGTTTCGGTCAATGGACCTTTGCATGAAACTGGGGCGACGTTTCGGTCAATGGACCTTTGCATGAAACTGGGGCGACGTTTCGGTCAATGGACCTTTGCATGAAACTGGGGCGACGTTTCGGTCAATGGGCCTTTGCATGAAACTGGGGCGACGTTTCGGTCAATGGACCTTTGCATGAAACTGGGGCGACGTTTCGGTCAATGGGCCTTTGCATGAAACTGGGGCGACGTTTCGGTCAATGGACCTTTGCATGAAACTGGGGCGACGTTTCGGTCAATGGGCCTTTGCATGAAACTGGGGCGACGTTTCGGTCAATGGACCTTTGCATGAAACCGGGGCGACGTTTCGGTCAATGGGCCTTTGCATGAAACTGGGGCGACGTTTCGGTCAATGGACCTTTGCATGAAACCGGGGCGACGTTTCGGTCAATGGGCCTTTGCATGAAACTGGTGCGACGTTTCGGTCAATGGACCTTTGCATGAAACTGGGGCGACGTTTCGGTCAATGGGCCTTTGCATGTAACCGGTGCGACGTTTCGGTCAATGGGCCTTTGCATGTAACCGGTGCGACGTTTCGGTCAATGGGCCTTTGCATGAAACCAGTGCGACGTTTTGGGCAATGGGCCTTTGCATGTAACCGATGCGACGTTTCGGTCAATGGGCCTTTGCATGTAACCGATGCGACGTTTTGGGCAATGGGCCTTTGCATGTAACCGGGGCGACGTTTCGGTCAATGGGCCTTTGCATGTAACCGATGCGACGTTTCGGTCAATAGGCCTTCTGCGTGGCGTCACGTGGACGGAGGAGAGCCGCTCGCCGTTCGTGTCGCGTCGTCGTCGATGCCTCGGATTTCCGAAATGGAGACTAAATAAATTGCCGCGGAGTTATTTTCTCAGAAACCTGCGCGCGGCGCAATTAATTTCTGCTCGCGGTGGAAATTAATTGCGGCGCGCCGCGGCTACGCGCGCAATTACGCGTCCCTGGGTGCGGAAAAAGCTCCCTCTCGATGGCCGATCGCATTACCGTGATGGATCGGCGCGTTGCCGTTTCGTCTCATTATTGTCCGCGAGTGCCTTTTCACCGGCGTGACGGCCGCGTGGGGCCTTTGACGAGGTCCGGGGTGGACGCGCGCGCGTCCACCAACTTGCTCAACTGCCCGCTCGGCCGCTCGGCCGCCGACTCGCTTGTTCACTCGTCCTGCCACCCGCTTGCGCGCCTACCCGCCCATCCACCTACGCTTAAATTCAACCGCTCGCTCGCTCATCCACATACTCGCTCTCACAACCCACCCACTCGCTCATCCACACACTCGCTCTCACAACCCACCCACTCGCTCATCCACACACTCGCTCTCCCAACGCACCCACTCGCTCATCCACACACTCGCTCTCTCAACCCACCCACTTGCACATCCACACACTCGCTCTCCCAACGCACCCACTTGCACATCCACACACTCGCTCTCACAACGCACCCACTTGCACATCCACACACTCGCTCTCCCAACGCTCCCACTCGCTCATCCACACACTTGCTCTCCTAACGCACCCACTCACTCATCCACACACTCGCTCTCACAACCCACTCGCTCATCCACACACTCGCTCTCCTAACGCACCCACTCACTCATCCACACACTCGCTCTCACAACCCACTCGCTCATCCACACACTCGCTCTCCTAACGCACACACTCACTCATCCACACACTCGCTCTCCCAACGCACTCGCTCATCCACACACTCGCTCTCCTAACGCACCCACTCACTTATCTACACACTCGCTCTCCCAACCCAACCACTCGCTCATCCACACACTCGCTCTCACAACCCACTCGCTCATCCACACACTCGCTCATCCACACACTCGCTCTCCCAACGCACCCACTCACTCACTCATCCACACACTCGCTCTCACAACACACTCGCTCATCCACACACTCGCTCTCGCAACGCACCCACTCACTCATCCACACACTCGCTCTCCAAACCACACACGGCATGGCACACGAGGGGGTGGGTGGCCAGCACCACGCCCGACTGCCTTTGTCTCCCTAGTGGCGATGTTTGCACACCGCACCGGGTACTCATTTGAGGCTGAGTCGACCTAGGGGAAGCCCAGGACCGGTTCAGATAATCGTCGCTGGTGTTGGCTGTGAGCGGAAATTGAACTCGGGTCGCCGGGTTCGTAGCGCATCGTTACACTCACTACTGTTGGCCAAACATCCCAATGTAGCAGGACCCCCCCATGAAAGAGAGTGCTTGGACGCGATGTGGCTTTCCTGGGTTCGGAAAGAAAATAAAAAATCATCAGGGGCTGTTATGTGGCCCAGCCGTAGCGCGTTCCTACTAAAGTTTTTTAAAATTATTATTTTGGGTTAGAGCGGGCAAATATAAATGTGTCGTCAAACCCGCCACCACCCGATACGGCCACTTAGCAAGGCTTGTGACGTAAAACGAAAGTTTTAGCTCTTGCCCTCCCGCGACTGTCTGTCACAGGCCACACAGTGCGGATTTTGGTTTTCGTTCTGCTCAACCGCCCGCTAACTCGTCCACCCCCCCCACCCCACCCCCCCTCGGCTCAGCTGTTCATGGTGGACAACGGCGCGGACGACTGGCGCATCGCCATGAGCTCCGAGCGCATCTTCTTCATCGCCCTCGAGCTCTGCGTGTCGGCCATCCACCCGGTGCCGGGGCGCTACACGTTCGTGTGGACGGCGCGACTCGCCTTCTCCTACGCGCAGTCGGTCACCACGGCCGACGTCGACATCGTCCTCTCCATCCCCATGTTCCTGCGCCTGTACCTGATCGCGCGCGTCATGCTGCTGCACAGCAAGCTGTTCACGGACGCGTCGTCGCGAAGCATCGGCGCCCTCAACAAGATCAACTTCAACACGCGCTTCGTCATGAAGACGCTCATGACCATCTGCCCCGGCACCGTGCTGCTCGTCTTCAGCATCTCGCTGTGGATCATCGCCGCGTGGACGGTGCGCGCGTGCGAGAGGTGAGGCTGTGGTCCCGGGGGGGTGAGGGGGGGTGAGGGAGGGGTAAGGCCTGGGGGGTGAGGTGTGAGGGGTGAGGTCCATGGTGAGTGAGGGGTGAGGCCGTGGTCCCGGGGGGTGAGGGGGGGGGGTGAGGGGTGAGGCCGTGGTCCCGGGGGGGTGAGGGGTGAGGGGGGGGGTGAGTGAGGGGTGAGGCCGGGGGGGTGAGGGATGAGGTCCAGGGTGAGTGAGGGGTGAGGCCGTGGTCCAGGGTGAGGGGGGGAGTGTATAGTGTAGTGTATAGTGTAGTGTATAGTGTAGTGTATAGTGTAGTGTATAGTGTAGTGTATAGTGTAGTGTAACACGGTGTGGTTGTGGTTTTGGCCCACTTCGTGGGGAGCGGTGGCGTCGCGGTTAGCGCTCACGGCCAACACGGGTGAAGATTATCCGAAAGATTGTTGTGCCTTTCCCCTAGGTCGACTCAGCCTCAAATGAGTACCTGCTGCGGTGTGTAAAACATCGCCACTGGGGAGACAAAGGCGGCCGGGAGTTGGGCTGGCCACCCACCCCCTCGTGTGCCGTGCCGGCCTTCATAGGTGTTCGCTAGCAGCACTTGACCCAACAGTCTGTTAAGGCTATACGTGGATCTTTGTCTTTGTTTTGGTACATTTCGATTTAAAGCTTTCGTGACTGCAGGGATTCATCTTCTTGGTTCTTTCGGTAAAGTCACGTAGAAAGGAAATAATAAAATAATAAAAATCAAACATGATAAAATAATTCTCACGACGTTTCGGCCACAACGCAAGCAGCCGTCCTCAGATGAAGAACAGCGACGCTGTCTTTCCGAAAGCCCTGTTCTTCACCTGAGGACGGCTGCTTGCGTTGTGGCCGAAACGTCGTGAGAATTTTATTATGTTTTATTTTTATTTTTTTATTATTTCCCTTCTACGTGACTTTACCGAAAGAACCAAGAAGATGTTTTGGTACACTTTGAGAAAGTGTCCCCCCCCCCCCCCGCCTTGGGCTTTTCACTGATTTAAAACAACAAACAACAACAACAACCAACAACAACAATTATAGTTTTAACTTATAACGCTGCCCCCGCCGGAGCGTCCGCTCCCTCGAAGAGAAAAAGACTCGAGAGGCTTGAGGAGGAAACGCGGACGAAGCGGGAAGTCAGCCACGCCGTGAGTCGGGAACAAATGTCTCCCTCCGAGCTCTGCGGTTCTCTGTTTATATAAAAATATATATTTAAAAAAAATTACGTGAAAAAAATATTTTATCGGGTAATGCCCCCCAACTGCGCTGTGTAGCTCTTTTTCAGAAGCGACCTGGCTTATCATGAATGATAGCTCAACAAAGTGGCTTTTCATCGTCGCGTGGAAATTTATATCAGCAGCCAAACACTTTCCACGCGGTGATGTTGATTCTAAATGTGGTGGGGAAACACCGGAGGATCCGGTAAAAAAATCCACGCGACCACGGGGGGAGAGAGAGAGAGAGACACTGCGAAATCCAAATATACAGCAGCAGGCGTCAGGGTCGGGATCGGGATCGAACCCACGACCTCCTGCATACCAGGCGAGGTAGTTAACAACTCGCCACTGTGGCGGCCAACGTTAAGGCGTGAGCGGCCAATGAACCCTTCGAGACATCTGCAAGTCGCGGGGTGAGGGTGTCCCGTTCTCACCGCTGAATCTCGGAACGTGCTCAAGTGGCTCGGCGTTTATTTTTATTCTTCTTGGTTCTTTCGGTAAAGTCACGTAGAATAGAAATAATAAAATAAAAAAAATAAAACATAACTATTTTTATTATTGTATTATTTCCCTTCTACGTGACTTTACCGAAAGAGCCAAGAAGATGAATCCCTGCAGTCACGAAAGCTTTAAATCGAAATTTATTTTTATTGTTTTAGAGAGTCGCAGCAGCGCCGTCGTTTTCACGGACATCGTTACTCACGGCGGAGAACCGTGGCAGCACGACCGTCGCACCCTCCGACAGCCGGCACCAAAAACTGTGCCACAAGCCCCTCCCCGCACGGCCTCGTGGGAGCCTGGGCACGTCTTTCGACGTGAAGACGCGCCCATCGAGATACTTAATTTTACACGTACGTCATCGGAACAGGGAAGTAGTTCACGAGAGGAGTTTCTACACGTGGGAGGAAACCCCGTGCGCGCGCAAGGGGGAAACGCTCTATCCCGTAGAGGTGTGCCAAGGTGGGGTTCCACGTTTCTCTTGCTGTGCCGCCTTCTCCCCGGCGAGCCGGGGGTCACGGCTTCTCACCGACGCCGCACTCACGGCAGAGGTCGCAAACGCGTTTTGATTCCTTACCCGTACCCGTACCCGGCCGCACCAGGGTCGCAAATGGGTACCCGTTCCCTACCCGTACCCTACCCGAAATGAGTGACAAACGGTTACTCACCAATGACTCACGGCCTATCCGTACCCGTACCCGGCCGCACCAGGGTCGCAAACGGCTACCCGTACCCGGGTATCGGGTAGGGTACGGGTATCGGGTACCCGGTTGCGACCTCTGACTCACGGGGAGGGAGTCTCGCGACAATCTGCGTGGTGGTCCACCAACCCTGGCCGCCGCCTCTCCGCAGCGCTGGGCTGACGAGGCATCCGTTGCCACCGCTGCACGGTTGGTGCATTTCGAGAACATTCCAGTGGTGGCTACCACGTGATTTTTTTTCTGGGGTACACTTTGAGGCGAATGCTCCGGCGGGCTTGTCCCCGAGTAATTGAGGTAAAATTTCGATTTAAAGCTTCTTTCGTGACTGCAGGGATTCATCTTCTTGGTTCTTTCGGTAAAGTCGCCACGTAGAAGGGAAGTAATAAAATAATAAAAATAAAACATAATAAAATAATTCGGCCACAACGCAAGCAGACGTCCTCAGGTATGTTTTATTTTTATTATTTTATTACTTCCCTTCTACGTGACTTTACCGAAAGAACCAAGAAGATAATTGAGGTTGTTTTTTGGGGGGCGTTGTGAATAATCGCTCTCGTCCTGTCCCACATGAAGGTTTTTGTCTTCGGAGTTCACTCTAGAAAATGTTCCAACGAGGCATTCCCTGCGTATCGCGTTGTGTTGTTTTTTTTGGGGGGGAAGGGGGGGTACGTATTGCGAACGTGCCAGCAGAGGGGGGGGGGGGTCTCCCTGAGCGATGGGTGGGGGGGGGGGGTTTGGGGTACACTTTGAGAACGAACGGGCGTCCGCGTGTCCCGCTCACGTTCCACTGAAACTCAATCTCACCGTCTCTGCCGCTCATTCTCATTCTGAGTCTGCGGGGAGGAGAAGGGGGGGAGGGGGGAGAGAAGGGGGGGGGGAGATGGGGGGAGGGGGGGAAGGGGGGGAGGAGAAGGGGGGAGGAGAAGGGGGGGGAGTGAGAGGGAAGAGGAGGAGAAGGGGGGGGAGAATGGGGGGGGAGAAGGGGGAGGTGTCGCTGACGTCTGAGGTTCAGGGATATTCATAGCGGGCGCTCATTTACAGACCTCCAACAATGATGACGGTGATGATGATGATGGCAGCGATGACGGTGATGGTGATGATGGTGGTAACAATATGAGAAATAATAATTGTGGTGGTGGTTGGTGGTGGTGTTTGTGGTGGTGGTGGTGATGATGGTGGTGGTGGCTGCAATGCGGTAATAGAAACAATTTATAACGTTTAGTTTTAGGGGCCGTCCTTAAATGACGTCACGCACCTGGGGGGAGGGGCGGGCAGACATTTGTGACGCCGTGTGACGAGGGGGAGGGGGTCAAAAATCGTCCAAAATCGCGTGACGTTATTTATGGACGGCCCCTTATTAATGGGATCGTCGTTCGTGCAAATTGCGTCTCGCAGCCGCTGAGTCGGAGCCACGGACACGAGGCTGGAAGGCTCTCTCTACATCTTCTTGGTTCTTTCGGTAAAGTCACGTAGAAGGGAAATAATAAAATAATAAAAATAAAACATAATAAAATAAAATAATTTTTACGACGCTTCGGCTACAACGCAAGCAGCCGTTTTCAGGTGAAGAATGAGACACTGCCAAGCTAGGAGCTTATATATAAGCTGGGTTGGAGGTGGAAGAAGAGCGCCTTAACAAAAAGAATGTGCATATCAAGAGGAATTTAGCATATTCATGGCAAATGCGTAGGAGGTGGGCGGGGGGTTTCAAAGTCATATTATGCCCGTGCATTATGCAGGAAACGTCGTGAGAATGATTTTATTTTATTATGTTTTATTTTTATTATTGTCTTACTTCCCTTCTACGTGACTTTACCGAAGGAACCAAGAAGATGAATCCCTGCAGTCACGAAAGCTTTAAATCGAAGTTCTCTACATATGAAGATGTTTCAGCTACTTAATGAGTTTTCAGACGTGGGGGGGGGGGGGGGGGAAAACGGAGCACTCGGATTAAGCCCGCGCATGCCAAGGGACAGACACTCTAACCCACACGGAAGGAACAGATGGATATTGTCCACAATACAGGGTTTTTTGGGGGGTTCAGATCGTGTAAGGATATCAATGTGTCGTCGTTAAACCCGCCCACCACCCGACACAGCCAACTAGTGAGGGTTGTCATGTAAACAGAACGTGCCAATTCGTCACTAGTACAGCACTCGTGTGTAGTGTAGTGTATAGTGTAGTGTGTAGTGTAGTGTGTAGTGTATAGTGTAGTGTGTAGTGTAGTGTATAGTAGTGTATAGTGTAGTGTATAGTGTATTGTATAGTGTAGTGTGTAGTGTAGCGTATAGTAGTGTATAGTGTAGTGTGTAGTGTAGTGTATAGTGTAGTGTATAGTATAGTGTATAGTGTATTGTATAGTAGTGTAGTGTATAGTGTAGTGTGTAGTGTAGTGTATAGTAGTGTATAGTAGTGTATAGTGTAGTGTATAGTGTATTGTATAGTAGTGTAGTGTATAGTGTAGTGTGTAGTGTAGTGTATAGTGTAGTGTATAGTGTAGTGTGTAGTGTATAGTGTAGTGTATAGTAGTGTATAGTGTAGTGTATAGTAGTGTATAGTAATATATAG